AACAGTAGGAAATCACTAATAGTAGACAGATAAGGTATGGTGAAATATGTTATGCCAATTTGCCTCCTACAAATTAGCTAACTAAAACAATAATGGAACTGAATTGTCCCCGTATGTTATGACATATAAATAGCCATACACTTTAAAATAATGTCCTATAATATGAACTGCGTTGTTGAAAATGATAAGTGGACATTGGCGTATTAACACTATAAAAAGGGCACCAGTTTTTAAATTGTTAAAATTCTCATTGTCATACAGCTAGATAATCAGTATATGTCAATGTCACATTTAACACATTAATGAGAGAACCAGCAGAATGACAGGGCTTATTAAAATTTAATATGAGAAACTGGGACTTACATAGTGTTGAAATGAGATTGCTAATTTCAAGAACTGTGAAAAGTGTGAGAATTTTATACTACTTTCAGGCCTGACACAATTTCGTGGACACTTGTAGAACATACGAGATTCCTGGGTCAGAGACAGACGACGGTTAATCAGAGCAATATAAATAATCAGAGTATAGCATTTTTGTTTTTGTTTTTACTTTCGTTCAGTTTCATGATCTCTAATACCTATAAGGCACTGGAATATGTCAGAAAATTGTAGTAGACCAATTAAACAGACAAGGTAGACTTTATTTACGACTATTGCATTAGCAGTGGAACAAGTCATTTTCAAGCTAATTGCTATCTGGAAGCCAAAGGGTTTCTTCTGTGCATTCCTCCTTGTGAAGCTGAAAGACCCACTCCACACAATCCCTTGACAAGAAATTAGGAAAAGTAGCAAGATTATAACAATAAAGGAAAGAGACTGACCTCAACTTCACTGAAAAAAGAAACAGAAAAGAATAGTTTTAAAGAGCTACAGTGAGTTAGTAGAAAAGTAATGGAGAACATTATCAGAGAGGTGTTTAATGTGATTCAGCCATCTGTGTTTGTTAATTTGTGCTTATCTGAGTTTGGCTCCTACCCTTCTACAGAGACAAGACTACTATCTTTCCTAATGATTATATTTGAAAGGGATGGCTGTCACTTTCTTATAAGACGTTCCTCGCCAGGCACAATGGCTCACGCCTGCAATCCCAGCACGCTGGGAGGCTGAGGCAGGCAGATCACTTGAGGTCAGGAGTTCGAGACCAGCCTGGCCAACATTGTGAAACTCCTGTCTCTACTAAAATTACAAAAATTAGCGGGGCGTGGCGATGTGCTCCTGTAATCCCAGCCACTCGGGAGGCTGAGGCAGGAGAATCTCTTGAACACGGGAGGAGGAGGTTGCAGTGAGCCGAGATGGCACATCTGCACTCCATCTTGGAAGACAGAGAAAGACTCCATCTGGGGGAAAAAAAAAAAAAAAAAGACATTCCTAGGCAAAACTAGTAAAGAGGCAGGGGCCGTTGGGAAGGGAGGGGCGGGGTGCGAGGGGGAAGGGGGGACGAGTGAGTGGTGGGGGCGGCGGTGTTGGAGAGAAGGGGAGGGCAGGACAGGAGGGGAAGATTTACATCTCAAAGGAAACAAAAAATAGTTTATGAACTGCAACATTTTCTAATATAAACGGTCATCATCATCGAGGAGGGCATAAGGCATAAGTGAGTGCACAAGATAAGAGAGAAATCAGGCGAAGCTCATCTTTTTTTGTCAGGAGCTCACTGTCAGTGTAACTAACTCACTTCACAAGAACAGCATACCATTTTAAAGCTTCCACTTCCCAGTACCACTACATTGATAATTAAATTTCAACGCTGAGTTTTGGAGGGAACATTCAAACCATAGCCACATTTTTGCTGCATTGTCAATAAATTTAAAAGCATGAGGGTATTAGGTTAAATGTTTAAACTTCTGTCTTGGGCTTTACAAAGCCGGACATTAAAGTCATTTATCCTGGTCTGAAGCTAGGATTCCACACGTCACTAGAAAGAACATAACAGTTAAGTTACATCAGAAACTTGTAAGCATCTTTTTTCACAAAGAAGTGTGATAATTGTAACTGAATAGTGTGACTATAATCAGAGAAAGTACATTTAAATTAGCAGGTACTGGCAGTAATTATATAAATAGTATACTGCATGGCATGTAAATTATGGTTATCAGTTTGGTGATGGTGGAAATGAGGATTCATTTTCTTTCTTTTTTGAGACGCAGGGTTCATTCCGTCACCCAGTCGGAAGAGCAATGGTGCGATCCCCACTCACTGCCAACCTCCCCCTCCAGAAGCTCAAGGCGAATCTGACCACTTCAGATTTATTTTTATGACAATATACTTATTTACATATGTTTAATCTGACTTAAATCTTTATATACGTTATTGGTCATTGCTTGGAAAAGTTGGCAGATAAAATGAGTAAATTTATTTCTATATTCTGAGTAGTTTTTTCCACATTCAGTGAATGTTTTCTTATTATCTATGTTAATATTTCTCATATTTCACAAGTCTTGAGAAATATGATTAAACACAATGCCATTTAAAGAGGGTTTTACTCTAGTTTTTACACTGTATCTGCTAAACTGAGATCAAAGACAAGAAATATTTTCTTAAATGCTCATCCAAAAGTAAAGTATTAAAAGTAATATAAGATTATTTCTTGAGTCCTTGCTTTTTATGTGACAAGGAAAAGAACAATGGTCATACCGAAAAGGGTGGTGGCCATGTGAAGCCCACTTGCTAAGCATACGCTGCCTGCTGAACGCCGGAGGATGTGGCCATTCAGTCGCTCAACACATAGAAATGACAAATACTCAAAGTGATGGACATCTCAAATATTCTAACTTGATCATTACACATTCTATGCATATAAAAGTATCATATTTTACATAAATATGTAACATTACATGTATCAACAACAAAAAAATAAAGTAGCATGGAAAAATGTGTTATTCGAAATACAGTAGAGACCATGACCTTCAAATCCCCAAGGTCAATGTCTTTGCTACCTATGTGCTCCCCAAACTGTGACACTATATCATTGTATAAGTTACGCCACTTATACCAAGATTGTTTTGTGAAAGGCCTATATGTGCAAAGCAATCCCCAAATGCAGAAGGATTTGAGCAATCAAAGAATGAAGTAGATAAATCAAGTTAATCAGCAAAAGGCAATGTATTGGGAAAGTTAGGGACAGAAGCGTTGTCTTCAGCAGCTGCAAGACAAGTAGATCTCTGCATTACTACCCCCCAGACCCAGGGCTTATATATATCATAGGGAAAGGGTATCATGCTTCAGAAGGAATGTATAGCACAAATGAATTTTACCCTTCAGGGAAAGGCAAGAATGAAATATGCTCTATAGGGTATATTTTGCCTAAGGGCAGGATTGATGTTAAGTACATGTTTATAACATAAATGTTTTTTTGATCTAAGGGTAAGATTTACAGTAAATGCTCTTCCACTAGGGACAGTAAAAAAAAGTATAAATCTTAGAGACATTCCTGAAACTGGAGTTAATCAGAAGTCAACATGAATTACCATTCAAGATGGAGTTGCTGTAGCCTCAACGATAGTCAGTAACCATTCTTGTGAAGCCAGGAAAGAACCAACACCTTTCGCCTTAAGTTAGACCTGTGAGTGTTACCTCATAACCTCTACCAAAACTCATATAAGAAGCTGAGTCTTTAAAGACTGAAGAAAGGCTAAGCTCCAGGAAAAAAAAAAAAAAAAAAAGAGGAAATTATATGTTATACAAACAATCTTAAATAATTACAAATAATTTTATATAATCAATTTAATGTATAATCAATTCAAAATCCATTAGATCTTTTGCTACAAGTCTGCTTTTACAAAGTCATCTCTTCAGGAAAAATAGTCTTTAAGTTCTTGACTCAGTTGCCTACTTCAGTAATATGGTTGTTGTTCATTGCGGTGATATTAGCTTAAACCAGCTACCTATTCCTTACAATATCAATAACTAAGGGCATTTGTTTATTTCTTTTATATGTATTAATCACATATTAAAATGCATTATGTAAAGGAACATAACTATACTTACATCTAGTTGCTACCTTAGTATTTATTTCTATTTTCTTTCTTATCTATGATTAAAGATTAATCTATTTAAATAACTTTTTTTCTGTAGAATGCATGAATGACAGATTTGGATGATTAGGTAATTTCCAAGAGTTTCTTCCAAATCTGTTCACAGTTACATATTATTGCAATTATAAACACAGCATTGTAATTGGCTAATTAATCTTCTTTGTGAAAGAGGCAAAAGCTTTTCTTCTTTACAGATAACAGACAACTACTAGCAATTTCAATCCACAGGAAAATAAACATGTATGCAAAACCTATAAGAAAAACAAAAACTTTTAAAGAGAAAGAACCCTGAAAATGTATAGTTGCACAATTTGTCTTATATAAATTGTTACCATTTTTCACATTCATCAGAAATAATTTATTTTTCATTCACTGTATTTTGCTATGTGCAAATGAAAGAATTCCTTATATGAACAGTAAACATAGTCATAAAACTAACAATCTTATTATTCTACTTCAGCTGGGTTGTTTTGTGTAAAATCCTACTCTCGGAGATATCTGACAATGTTTGGAGACATATTTGGTTGCCACAGCTAGAAGAACTTGGGTGTAGGGTTGGAGTATCACTGACATTTTGTGAGTAGAGGCCAGGGATATGATGAAATATTTACATTGCATGGGATAGTCCCTAAAATAAAGAATTATACAGCCTAGAATATCAATAGAGCCAAGGGAAGGTTAAGAAATCCTGCCCTACTTCATGTTTTCAAAGCTACCATAGACTATTAGACAGAAAAACTGTTTTTGTTTTTCACACCCAGAGACCTCATATTAGATGTCTGGCAGCTAATTGAAAGATGGATGTGGTGCTGAAGATTTTCACTCTTAAAAACAGTATTCAGATCTTATCAGTTCCCATCTGAAACACATGTAAGAAACATATTTCTCAGTTGGTGATTTTTCTTTTTTTTTTTTTTTTTTTTGTGTGTGTGTGTCAAATTTGTAATCAAAAAATGAAAGTAAGACGAATGGCCCAGAAACCCGCATTTTATTGACACTGTCATTTTCCCACAGAGAATCTTAGAAGATGTCACATTTTCTTTTAATGAACGAGAGGAGCCCACTTGTATCCCTGAATCATTGTTTGAGAAAAGCAACAGATACAACTGACAGTCACACTTTTAAAATCAAACAGTCACTACCTTCAGCCCACACCTCCACACCGGCATCTGCCTCCCCAGTGGCTGTCAGTTCCGTAAAGTCACCCTCTCCTTCTACTCTGGTATTACCACGAGAATTGAAACTTTTAAGCAGAAAAAAAGAAGTCAAGTTACAAATAAGTGAGTGGCGAACCAAGAGAAGCCCTTTGACTATGATTTCCAATTTTCTGTTCAATCCACACTGCAGAGATACAAGGATAAACCACCATTTTGGTTCCCAAGTTTTATTCAAGAACTCATACAAAATATTCCTAATCCTCATCTTCCTCCTCTTCTTCGTCCTGGTTAATCTGGAAGTAACGTAATTCGTAACTTTCTTTGCTGTTAGCAACTACGCGCAACCAGTCACGTAGATTATTCTTCTTCAAATATTTTTTGGTGAGATATTTCAAATACCTTTTGGAGAAAGGCACCTCAGATGTCACGGTGATCTTGCTCTTGCTCCTTTCGATGGTCACCACCCCTCCACCAAGGTTCCCAGCTTTTCCGTTCACTTTGATCCTTTCTTGCAAAAACTGCTCAAAATTGGCAGCATCCATGATTCCATCTTCTACAGGGTGGGTGCAATCAAGAGTGAACTTCAGAACCTGCTTCTTCTTTTTGCCCCCCTTCGCCACAAGTTTTTTCACTGGAGCCATGGCCGCAGCGGAGTTAGAAAGGAGTTGGTGATTTTTCAAAAGCAAACAGACCTTAACTAGATCAAATAAACAGGTGAATAACGATCAGATTTTGATATTGGAGATTCTGAAAATGAACTTATATATTTCTTTGTCTCAACAAAAGCTAATGTATAGGTTATAGCAGTTAGGGTACAGGAAAATTAGGTTATGAAAAAAAATCTTAATTTTTTTTTTCTGTTTTTGTGGACTGCAACTCAGCAAGCCCATCTAGAACATTACTACTTACAGTCAGCTTAACAGGCTAAAGAAATGTATTGTTCTTCAACATCTACAAAAGATAGAACACTAAGGATCCCAAAAGATAAAATCTTTCATACTAACTCATTATAAGGTTTAGCCCCATTCATTATTATACAGGGTATTGATATATGAAAAAAAATAGAAAGAGGGGAGAGAGAGAGAGAGAAATATACTGAAAAGGTAAGAAATGTTCATGGTTCAAAAAACACCAAAAAATTAAAAAAAACAAAAAGACTATATGTATTGCGGAAGCACAGTTTAAGCATGTAGGTTTAATGAAAGATAATGATAAGCGTTCATTTAGGTGAGTTTGCTCTGGAATGTGATGGTGATGGCAAGAAACTGACATATTTTTATGCAAGTTTTTCAGTATTTTTTCTTAAAATATTGTGCTACTTAATTATTTTTGCATATTGATAAGTTATATGCTATACAAATTCATATAAGACAGACATGCATTGTTAAACAAAATTAATAACTTTCTGATTTTTTTCTGGATCATCTTAGCATTATTTGTACTATAAATGGCCCATGAGTATAAAAATTAATACTTGTAATACTTTGTTATATTCTAAAATACCTAGGTGCTACGTCAAGGGCCTTAGGTAAGACTACTGGCTTCTAGTGAGACTCAGTACATTATCAGCTATGGTGGCTACAGGGCAACATTCCCACTGCTTGAGAAAAGTGGAGGAAAAAGGAAAGGGGGCTTTGTCTTGCACCTTAGGGATCAGTTCAGCCACAGGGATGTAGAGCAGAAAGTAGGTTCTTGAGGTCTTTGATTCCAGGACTTGGCTCTAGGATGGCATTTCTGGATTTGCCGTGGGCCAGAAGGGAGCCCACTCTACTGAAAAGTGAGTCACAGGCCAGACAGCATTCACCACATGCTGACTGAGGAGCCCTTGGACTGTAAGCAAACATCAGCAGTGGTCTTGCAGTACTCCTCATGAGCCTGAGATGGTTGTGGCCATGGGATGAGGTTCCTCTGACTCTGGAAAGGGAGGGAAGAGTAGGAAGAACTGTGTCTTCTGGTTCGAGTGCCAGTTCAGCCACAGTACAATAGAACGCCAGGTAGACTTCTGAGGTTTTTGACTCCACTCCTTGGCTCCAGGATGGCACCCCTGGACGCCTGGCTTGGTGGAAATTACCACCCTGAAGGGAAGGACATAGGTCTGTCTGGCTTTGCCGCCTGCTTATTGTAGGGCCCTAGGACTTTGAGCAAACATAAGTAGTAGCCAGGAAATGGTTATAGCAGGCTTTGGGTGAGACTTAGTGCTGTGCTGGCTTCATGTCTAACCCAGAACAGTCCTAGGGGTGGTGGCTTCAGTGGTGCTTGTGTCACTCCACCACCAGCTCCAGGTGGCTTAAAACAGAAAAGGAAAATCTGTTTGTTTGGAAGAAAGTAAAGGAAGATAACAAGAGTCTCTACCTGGTAATCCAAAGAATTCTTTCAGGTATGTTCCAAGACTATCAAGGGAGTGTGCTGTGAGTCTGAGGGAACCACAGTATTCCTGGGCTTGGGGTCCCCTAATAAACAGATGCAGCTCAGATCACAAAACCTAGGTCCTTTTGAATATCTGGAAACCGTTCCCCCAAAGAATGGGTAAAATCAAGCCCAGACTGCACAGACTATAATAAATACCCAGTTATTCAATGCTCAGATACCAAAGAGCATCTGCAAGTATCAAGATGATCAAGTAAACCATGACCTCACCAGATAAACTAAATAAGTCACCAGGGACCAGTTTTGGAGAAACAGAGATATATGAGCTTTTAGAAAGATGATTCAAAATAACTGCTTTTAAAAAACTCAGATAGGCCAGGCATGGTGGTTCATGCCTCTAATCCCAGCACTTTGGAAGGCTGAGGCAGGCAGATCACAATGTCAGGAGATCAAGACCATCCTGGTCAACTTGGTGAAACTCCATCTCTACTAAAAATACAAAAATTAGCCGGGCGTTGTGGAGTGTGCCTGTAATCCCAGCTACTCAGGTGGCTGAGGCAGGAGAATCGCTTGAACCAGGGAGTCGGAAGTTGCAGTGAGCCAAGATTGCACTGCAGCACTCCAGCCTGGCAACAGAGTGAGATACCATAAAAAAAATAAATAAATAAAAAGAAAAAGAAAAAGAAACTCAAATAAATTTAAGATAAGACTGAGAAGAAATTCAGAATTCTATCAGTTATATTTGACAATGAGATTAAAATAATTAAAAAGAGTCAAGCAGAAATTCTGGAGTTGAAAAATGCAGTTGCCATTGTGAGGACTATATCAGTCTTTTAATAGCAGAATTGATCATGTAGAAAAAAGAATTAGTGAGCTTGAAGACAGGCTATTTAAAAATACACTGTCAGAGGACACAAAATAATAATAACAATAAAGAGAAGCACATGTACAGGATCTAGAAAATAGTCTCAAAAGAGTAAATCTCAGAGTTATTGGACTTAAAGGGGAGGTAGAGAAAGAGATGGCATAGAAAGTCTACTCAAAAAAATAATAACACAGGACTTCCAAAGCCAAAAGAAAGATATCAATATCCAAGTACAAGAACATTATAGGACCTCAAGCAGATTTAACCCAAAGAAGACCACATTAAAGCATTTAAAAATCAAATTCCCTAAGGTGAAGAATAAAAAAAAAGAAAGAAACAACATACAATGAATCTTCAAATGGTTGGCAGCAGACTTTACAGTGGAAACCTTACAACAAAACGTTTACCCCAGAATAGCATATATGGTGAAATTATCCTTCAAACATGAAGGAGAAATAAAAACTTCTGCAGGGAAAAAAAAAAAAAAAAAAGCTAAAAATTTCAGTAACACTAGATCTGTCCTATAAGAAATGTTACAGGAGATACTTCAACCAGAAAGAAAAGGACTTTAATGAGCAACAAGAAATCATCTGAAGGTACAAAAGTACTGGTACAGTAAGTACAGAGAAATGCACAGAATACCATAACACTGTAAGTGTGCTATGTAAACTATTCTTACCTGAAGTAGAAAAACTAAACAATAAACCAATTTGAAGTAATATCTACAACAACTTTACAAGATATAAACAGTATAAGAAGATATAAATAGTAAAAAACAAAACTAAAAAGCACGAGGATGAGATAAAGACATAAAGTCTTTATTAGTTTTCTTTTTTGTGTTTGTTTGTTTATGCAAACAGTGTTAAGATATAATCAGCTTAAAATAATGGGTTTGAATATAGTATTTGTAAACTTAATGGGAATCTCTAACTAAAAAATCAGACTGACACACCCACACTCAAAAGGAAGAAACTAAATCATATCACCAGAGAAAATCACCTTCACTAAAGGAAGACAGAAGAGAAAGACAGAAGGGAGACACGACCACAGAATCACAAGAAAATAAATCAGAAATTGGCAGGAATAAGTTCCTACTTATCAATAACAACATTAAATGTAAAGAGACCAAATTCCCCAATCAATAGACACAGAGTAGCTGCATTGATGAAAAATCAAACCCATTGATCTGTTGCCTACAAGAAACACACTTTACCCAAAAGGACACAAGTAGACTGAAAATTAAGAAATAGAGATACTATGCAAAGGAAAACCAAAAGAGAGCAGTAGTTACTATTGTAATATCAGAAAAAAAAATAGATTTCAAGACAAAAAGTCTAAGAAGAGACAACAAAGGCCACTGTATAATGACAAAGGGGTCAATTCAGCAAGAGAATCTAAAATTTGAAATATATATGCACCCATCCCTGGAGCAAAAAGTATATATATTTACTTTATACATAAAGTAAATTTTAATAAAGCTAAGAGAAAGACTGCAATACAATTAAAGCTGTAAACTTCAAGTTCACTGTTAGATCTTCCAGAAAAAAATTCAACAAGGAAACATCAGGCTTAATCTGCACTATAGACCAAATGGTTCTAAGAGAACCATTTACAGAATATTCCCTTTAATGGCTCAAGAATACACATTCTTTCTGCTAGAACATGAATCATTCTCAAAAATAGATCATATATTAGATCACAAAACAAGTCTCAAAACATTCAAAATAATATCAAGCATCTTCTCTGACCACACTGGAATAAAACTGGAACTCAATGACAAGATGAACTTTGGAAACCAAACAAATACATAGCAATTATGCAATATGCTCCTGAAAGACCAGTGGATCAATGAAGAAATTAAGAAGGAAGTTGAAATTTTTTTTTTTTTTTAAATGGTAATGGAAATGAAACATACCAAAATCTATGGGATACATCAAAAGCAGTAATAACAGGGAATTTTACAGCTATACGTGCCAATATCAAAAAAAGAAGAAAACCATTAAATAAACAATTCAACAATGCACCAAAAAGGGCTAGAAAATCAAGAGCAAACAAAACCCAATATTAGTAGAAGAAGAAAAAAATAAAAATCAGAGCGTAAATAAATAAAATCAAAGTGAGGAAAATACAAAACATTAATGGAACAAAAAGTCAATTGTTTTGAAAAGTTAAACAAACTAGACAAACCTTTAGAAAGACTAAATAAGAAAAAAAAAAAAGAGGAGATCCAAATGAATAAAATCATTGTTGAAAAAGGAGACATTAAAACTGATGCCACAGATATTCAAAGGATCATAAGTGTCTACTAAGAACAATTATATGCCAATAAATTGGAAAATCTGAAAGAAGCAGTGTAGAGGGAAATTTATAGCACAGAAGCTCCACAAGAGAAAGCAGGAAAGATCTAAAATTGACACCCTAACATCACAA